CAGTTCCAATCACTGACTCTTCCAATTAAAATCAACACTTAATCTCACCCTATTGATAAAAACAACAATGTTTGAAGTGTTCAAGCTATGCACATGAAGGCTTCTAGTTGAAACTGAGCTATCCTTCTGATACAACTTGCAAACCACTTGTACAAATGCCCAAATTCATTTCAAACTCCATCCAGACAAGCTTCAAATGCTAAAAATTAATTATAAAATAAATACATACTACTTAGTTCAAATTAATCTTATTTAACAAGAGAAAAAAAGAAGAAGATAGTCCAGTCATTTAATGAGTTGTGCCTATTCATACTGCCTAAGTAGCCCTTCATGGAATACTTCCAACTGACTTACATCTATACAATAAAATAATATAATATGTATACATATATATATATATATATATATATATGTATATAGGAAAAGAATTGGATTTATAATGAAAACTTGGTGGTTTGGTATTCCTTTTTCACTGGAAAATTCCTGCTTAAGCCACCTGGAGAGCATGCCCAAAGTACACACAATGGACAATCACATCAATTGAAGGCACAGAGAATGAAGATCTTAAGCTAGTGCCATACTTTGAGAACCTGGCCAAGCTTCCAAAGCAGGGGAACTGGAGCCAGGTGCAGGCCAAAGGCAGGGGGGAGTTGTACACAGCAGCCTGACCAGGTCTGACATGGCCTTTGGCTGAGTTCTCACAACAACAATAAAAGAGAAAGAAAAAAGTTTTAAAAACTAAAAACTAATCAAAACAACAAAACAACAAAAAACAGAGGGGCTCACTATTCTGATAACTTCACAGGCTTCCAAGGACAGGAATCCTAGTGGACAGAGCCTTGCCCCCAAAGCATTGAGCCTGAAGCTTTTATAGGGAACATGGCTGTTGCAACACTGAAAAACCCAGCCAGGTACTTGTATTACAGTGAGAACCTGGAACCTACTTGTCTCATGTCAGGCGTCATAGATGGATAAGCAGAGAAGACTGACATCTTATATATTTACATATAAATGTGTGTGTGTGTGTGTGTATGTATGTATGTATGTATTAGAATTCCTAATACCCAGCTGCAAATCATGTGTGCAACATTCCTTAATTTTATTGAAAGGAAGTTTACTCTCAAGCATAGAGGATCAACCCCAACATACAAACATCTTGACACGTCTGATGGCAAGGTCCCTAGGTGTTGTGCACTTCTCTTGAAGGAGAGCACATCATACCAACAAAGATAAGAAGGATTTTAAAGTGGTGTTTGGAATATACAAAGCTTTGGAAAAAGCTAAGTAAAAGATAAAGCTGCACTACATTGTATTTATCTACCATGAGTACCATAGCCTACTAATGCTTTCTTTTGAGGATTTAAAGTGTGTGTGTGAGTTTATATATATATATATATATATATATATACACACTTTATCCAAACATCATTGTGTGGATATTCATCTAAGGAGTAATCTTTGTTTATAATACCTAAAGTGTGAGCTAATCATGTGTCTTATTAGGACAATGCAAGAGCAAACATTGCATGTTGGAGACACCACCTTTGATAAGGTTGGTGCCATTGTGAAGTCCTAAATAAACTTTCAAATCCATTCTCAACATTGGAAAATCTAACTTGAGTGTCTAAAAAGTGATGATTATGTCAAATTTTAAACTTATAATTAATTAAGCACTAATATTGACTATGCATTATATACATAAGTTAATGCTTGATGTTAATACTTAAGAGAAAAATTATTAATAAGAAACTCCACACTTAATGCAACTTACATCCACATATGCCTCCATAAATTTATATATATCAACAGCTTTTTGTATCCAAGTAGCATTGTCTTGTAGTAACATGGCCATTAGATGAAAGAAGAAGGAAATTATTTTATTATATAAGAGCTTAATTAAAAATATATAATAAAAAACATAGATAAATGATAGGCAAGTAGTAAAATTTATTAGTATTAAAATTACCTTTCATAAAAATAGGATCTATTTATTTTATAGAACCATAAATGAGGCAAAAAAAGATAGATTAGAAAAAAAAAAAAAAAAACATATATGCATATGTAGGAGAGAGTTAGGAGTTGATTTTAGCAAAAATTACCTCAAGAAGACAAGATTTGGTACTCAAAGAGGACCGGTTGCCAACCAAGGTTGAAATCAAACTCTAAGGCACGAAATTAAGCATCTATAGCAACTCCATAGTTCTTTTATAAATTGGAGAATGGAATTTAGGATAAAACTTAAGAAAATATTTTTGAGAATTTATTTGAGGTCATTTGGATTAATATTGAGGTTTTGAGAGATTTTCAAAGTTAATAATATTCTTAGTGGCTTTAGATTTTGAGAAATAAAAATATGTTTATAAATTTGAGGGTTTTTTGAATTTTGTAGCATATGTACTAGTGAAATTTTGGCATTTTATTATTGTACTTGTTCTAAATGTGTATAAGAAATTTTGAAGTCAATCAAGCAGTTAGGTTGAAACATACGAGGGTTTTTATGGGTTATAGTCTTGGAAATTTGAGATTTAGGATCAATGAGTGATTCTAAGATCTAGCAATATTTGCTAGTAAGATTGAAGCAAAAATTAGTGAAAGAAGTTAAGACTTGAAAATCTATACATAAATCATAATTTGGAGCAATTGAATAGTTCAGCAAGGAGAAATCAGTGTTGAAAGATCAATATTTAAGTTAGAGAAGGAGGGTGATCAATAACTAAGAGGTTTTGGAAGTATTTTTTGCAATTAATAAGTTTGATTCTTCTCAATTTTTGTGTGTTTGTTAATTTCTTGTTGATTGAAGTCTAAATAAAATTTTAGTCAAAATCAACAATTCAATAATCAATAATTGGACTTTGTAGGATTTATTAAGACTCTAAGATTTAGGATTTGATTAAAGATTGTTTAGAGTTTAGTTAGGATTTAAGGTTTGTCTAGGATTTAATTAGGATTTAAGGTTTGTCTAGGATTTAATTAGGATTTAAGATTTGACTAGGATTCAATTAGAATTTAGTTTAGAGTTAGGATTTAGGATTCATTTAGGATTTAGGATTCATTTAGGATTTAGGATTTGTCTAGGATATGAATAAGATTTAGGATTTTATTAGGATTTGGTTTAAGTTGTGACTAAAATTGGTTTAGAATTTTATTAGGATTTGGAAAGGATTTCATTAAGGTTTGATTTAGAATTTTATTAAGATTTGAAAAAGATTTCATTAGGATTTGGTTTAAGATTTGATTAAGATTATTTTAGGATTTTATTAGGATTTGTTGAAGATTATATTAAGATGAATTGGATTTCAACTAGAGTCTTATTTTTAATATTTCTTTCAGACTTCTTTATTATATATATTTCATCAAGGTTAATTTATGATTTCTTATGTTTCTTTTGTAAGTTTTTGAAACTTCTTGTGGATTTAATTAAAGGTTGATTAGAATTGTCATAATTTAATCAGAATTTTGTTAGGATTGTATTAGGTTTGTTATGATCACCTTGTTGCAAATTCTATTTTTCCTTCCACAATCAGGTGTTGAGTACATTCTTAAGCAAACTTCATGTAATATGACAACGCTAAGACAAAAAAAAGAGTCTTGAAAGTCACAATCATGCAATTTACATATTTTGTAGGCAAGCCAATGTTTCCCACTTATTGTTAGCAACATCAAGTTGCATCTTGTGCAGATGCAACTTGGCAACAAAGATGGTGCAAATCTTTGCCCTTTTTGGTGCTATCCACATGAAGGATAGCACAATTTATTCAAAGGCAGCTCAATTTGACATTAAGAACTTGCTGGTGCTTATCTGAGCTTATCCAAGTTACTGATATTGAAATTGCACCCTTCTTGAGCATGTACATGATGTATACAAATCTGTGAAATCCCTGGTGCAGATTTTATTGCTTTCTATTCACTTTTGCTCATGGTAGCAGCAAGAAAGGGGGAGGGGGGGGGGTCATTGATGACCCTGTGTCAAAAATGTGATGAATTTAGAAGATTCATGTCCATTCATTTATTATTATTGCAAGGGTGTTTGTATTAGTAATGTTCAAGGGGTCAACTCTTATCCAGATATGGCATTTGGTTTTTGAGTGGTTTAATAGAAATGTGTGGAATCAATAAACATGACAGAGGGTTTTGTCATTTTGAAGAGCTTTTACTCTTATGGGGGGCTTTGAAGGCATTGACATGCTTTGGGAACTGAGTCCACTGTATAGCTTATGACTGGTGTCCAGCAGGAGCAAGCCTTGTTTCTGACCAACTATTGTGGGATGATTGATGGTTCAGGTTTCTTTTATACTCTGACATGGGATATTGTGCGGGGAACCTCAAAATGAACTGAATTTCTTAGTGCTTTGCGGGGTTTTATGATATCTCACATGCTTCAAGATAGTCATAATTTTCAAAGCAAAAAGTTGATGTGAAGACATGAAGAGATACAATTTTGGTGGCAGATCATTTTTTGGAATAGGGTTTGGTCTTATTTTCATGATCAGTTTATTTTCAAGTTGCTACAATGTGACTTTCAAGTTTTTTTGGTAAGTTATCTAGACATCTTCAATTTTTTTTTTTAAAATTGATCTTACTGCAAACCTTCAATTTTTTGGAAATGAACAAAGAATGAGATTTGTTATTACATCTTCTGATTGACAACTTCATTCCCAATAATGAAAATTTCCAACTAATGGCCATAAACTATGTGATACTCCAAGTGTTCAATCTTCACATGCCCAATCTTTACTAATTTCAGACTATGTTATGAATGATCAATTCTATTTCTACTTTTTATATTAATCTTTTAATAACACATGTATATTTAAACGTATGGCCTCAAAGTTTTTGAGTATTTCAAGTGTAAGACTTCTAACTTTTCAAACAAATATGTTACAAGTCCAACTGAGATGACACAACTTAATGACAGTTTTTTTTTTTTTTTTTTTTTTTTTTTTTTCAATACCTCTAACATACGATTTTCTTAAAATATAAAATATACCTTAAAAAAAAACTTTAAACAACCTCTTCACTACAGACTTTTATTCATCAATTCACTTTAGATAATTTCCTCAATGAACAAAAAGGAAGGCATCATGAAAAATAGCCCAACTACGTGTGTTCAACATCTACAAAAATTTGAAAAACACTTACTCTCTAATTCCATACAAACCATACCATCACAACCCAATTATTAAGCTTGACATTCCATTCTAATACACAGCATTGAAAAAAACTACAATTGATACACAAGTATTGCAGTGTTAAGAATTATTGCATATATGACATCTAAAAGGATTGCATGCCAATTATTAAAAGCCCAGAATATATCTTTGTAAGACTTAAATATATTGTCTGTCAGTGCCTAGTAGTCTCAACCAAATTTGTGGAGGACTCTGCAAACGAGGGAAGAGGACAACACAGCTTGTGTAGGAGACAATCACACTAGGTGGAGTCACTCACCAAAGATTAAAACTTTGAGAAAATTTTCGAATTCCTTCATGTAGTGAGAGAAGCATCTACCAGCTGTTCCTGTTGGTTTTTTCCCCATGTGAGAGGTCCATTTGAATGCGAGTACTTGCTAGACAAATTACTCTTGGTCAGGTATCTAAGGGTTGCATGCCAAGATCAACATCACAACACCTGCAAATCGATTTATTCAATGCTTTCAAAGGGCTCCTTTAGACTAATATGCAACGTCTAGTGTCGTTATCCAGATACACTCACAAAATTGGATACCTTCTGGTAGGCGTTGCAGATGCATCTCTATGCTTTCAGATTTTCCAAGAGCTGCCTGTATCTGGGAGTCTCTTCGTCAAAAATGTAGGTCAATGGTGACACCAGAACACCACTACCTCCAGCCTGTGACCAACATCAAGAGAAGCGAACTTCAGCATACAAATTGTTCAATCTCGAGTGGACATGTTTAAAATGGCAATCAATCTGGTAATATATCAGGTTCCCAAAATGAACAATTGACGCTCTCAACTCCATGCCAACCAGACACTGGAGTGCTGATCCTAAACACCATAAAATAAATTTCGGTGACCACCAAAATACCTTTCTTAGCTGCTGGACAGCATGATATAGTTGAGGCTTCGGAACACAGATGGTTATCGCATAATAGTCTACGTTTGCAGTACCTCCTTCGTTCGTATAAACAGGACTAACAGTAGGGCCCTGCAGGTGCGCACAGAATATACATGAAAGTTAAGACCATGTCTCGTAAGGTTAATAATGATCATGCTAAAATATGGAAAGTTGTATATTCTTTACCACTAATTTCGATAATAATTCGTGCTACGTAAACAGTTGCATTATTTGAATTTCACAAGTTCCAAACTCAAGGATCTCGTAACCAAAATACGAGGTCGTCGTGAACAAAAAATTTGCAGTGAGCTCGAAGCCCACGGTATTTAATGCAGTTGTCGCAATATTGGGTATAATTTGAGCAGATGTGACAAGACAGCTGGCCAGAGTCATATTTTAACAAATGCTTCGTCATTTCGTCAACATCCAGGTCAACCTAAGACGCCTACTTGGGAAGTTTTGTTATGACAAATTCTTGGTGAGAACCTATATTTTTGAAGGGATATCGAATTATGACTCAGTAAAGAACACGTGTGACTCCTCCATTAACAGCCAACGACGTGATTTCAGGCAAGCTATGACGAAAGCAACTACAACCCACGTACACTACACTGAGTTGGAGACAATGGTGGTTAACAAACCTGCAACCCTGGGTAGCTGGTATTATTGAGTATTCTCTCAGCAACCTCCTCTGCAGAAGCACCTCTCATGTTGGCTACTACCTGTTCATATACATGCGAAAAAATTAGAATTGTGTAGGCACTGACCAGGTCTAACATTTAAAAGGTGAACCGCAGTAAAGGAACCATCACAGAAAAGACCATACTCGTCCTAAGAATCAATCAAGTTAAGTCCAGTTGAATCAAGTCTGTAAGCTAATTTTTAGTGTTTTGATTTTCGCTACTCAGAAGGTGTCAAACCCTACAGTGAATTGACCCAACGCAGTGAGATGTGCTTCAAACCGCTCCAACATTTCGTGAGCAACATCAAGCACCTCCTTGCGTTCTAGCAATGCCTTCTTGTTGGCAACAAACACTCCCTGCAAAGAACGATACAAAATCACCTTATAAATAACTACATAATCAACAATAACGGTACATGCGTAATGTTGGTAACAAATTTTTTGCTTCACTGTTTATACTTGAAAGAACGCCCATTCAAAGCATCCTGAATGAAGATAAACTAACAGTCTAAGGCGTGATTATCACGGGATACAGGTGAACAATATGATTGATGAGAATATGTCTTTTCTCTGTTACTCCTTTAAAACAGGATGACAGGAACTGTTAGTGGAAGGAGAGACCTGACTGCTGAGAACAGCTCCCCCGGAAATCTCCTTGAGATTGTTCTCGCGCAGAGTGGTTCCGCTGCTCACCAAATCCAAAATGGCATCAGCAGTCCCCATCTGTGAATATTCCAAGTAGAATCGTGTAAGAAACTACAAAGCAAGAACTTCATTAACACGCTTACTGCAACACACTGTTACTGGTAGAACTCAAAGAGGGAACCAACGAAAAGGGATGTTATCATTAGAAAGACTAGAGCGAAACGGTGAAATGCAGCGAAGTTGCTTACGGCGGGTGCAGCTTCTAAGGCACCATCAGCGGTTGAAAGCTGGACGTGTTTAAACCCATGCTTTTCCAAGAACTTCTTCCCCAGCTGAATTGAAGAAAAATCACCATGATGAGCATCATTGTCGGAGGTTCAATGTTAAACCCTGAAAACTACGTCTTAAACATAGAAACTAGCGTGTATTTCAGCAGATATGTATTCGTACATATTAGAAAACATGTATGTCGTGCGAAAAGGTTGCAATCATTGCATACATAAGTGTAGCCTGTAACAACACGTAAAGGCCTATCTTCAGTCCATAGTGGCATTGCAGCTAGCTCGTTTAAAGAGTTTATGTTCTCAAAGATGCCGTAAGTTGGAATCTGAAACCACGAGTCGATTCCAAATTAGAAGAGGTAGTTCTCCTAGATCATGAAAACTAAGAAACCAATTAACACAAATGCAGTAATAAAAGCAAGAACTACCTGACAGTAAGTGCATCTAGCTCCCTGTATTCTTGAAGATTTGTTTTACTTTTTTTAGAAAAAAATATTTTTTTAGGAAACTCAAAATGGAGGAAGAGTAACTGCTAAAGCTACACAACTTGGATTATAAAAAGCTTGAGATAGATTATCCACGAACCCCTATTGCAAGGTGACATTCTCCAAATCCCAATGCGTCGTGAACAATTACGAGGTCCTCGGAATCCTGGCCAAGAATTCATGATACAGCATTAATTTCCAATGCGTGATTCCTAATAAGCTCCCCTTCGCACAAACATTTTCACACAGAAACTAATGCAAAATTTAATTCTTCTATTAAAACTGCTGACGTTACGTGATAATGTCAGTTCCATTATGACCTAAAATAAAGGATGTCTCACCTCGCCGTACTCCCGAAGCATGTCATAGCCAACAATTCCCATATCCACATCCCCAGTTTTTAACTTACGCACAACGTCGGATGCTCGTTGAAACCACACTTCAACATTCTTGAGCTGAGAACAGAAGTGGCACAAGCGAGTAGAGAATAATTTTCAAGCTTAGAATGATGAAAGCCGTTGTGAATGAAACCAACTATAACAGAAGAATACAAAAAGACCAGTGTGAAAAAAATTAAAACAAACAAAAAAATGGAGAGAGCTTTCTCGAATCCAAAACCGTGGCTAGCTTGGATTGAAGGCACAATACTGCACGGCGAAATAAATAAAATGATATGAACGTTGATAGATGTTAACTCACTTCAGAAATGTCTGCTATGTACTGGCGAGGGTTCAGTTTACGCACTGAAAGCTGGCAATCCTGCAAGTGTATAGCCCGTTTCATAAATCATCAGAACTATGCTGTGCACCAAATGATCAAGATTCACATAGATTTAGTTACCAAACCTTGGACGAACTTCCGGGTATGACTAAGCAGTCCTAATTGACGTGACTGCTGATCTGTAAATTACACGTAATCGAAAAGTACTGCAAAACCTGCAACCTTCATCAGACCGAGCGTGTCTTCCGCCATACGTCCTTTGCTGGGAAGAGCCAAGCGAATAGTTGTTCGCTCCACAGGCTGCAATGGCTTGCCAGGACCTGCAGAACATATTTAGCATCGCCCTTCTGAACACAAGTGGGGCCGCTAACTCAGTAGCATCGTAAGACATGTAAATTCTGGGCTTCAGTTCCTGCAACTCTAGACAAAGACCATGCCATAGAGGTAGAAGAACGACACAAAGCCTCGCTGTGAAGACAAGATAGGAAAGTGGCACCGCTGACGGACCAGAGATGTCGACATTGAGTTGAGGCAATGTGGTTGAGCTTGGGCTCACTTGGCAATGGAGTTTAAGGCTGCTAATCCTGGGAGACAACTTCACGCAAGGCTGCCTAACCCTGAACTGAGACCCCAACTGCGACCCCAAATACGAAGTTCGTGGCAACTCCAGCTGCTGCAATCCTGCCAAGCTTCCTTGCATTGTCATAGTAGGTGCCACCGCCATTGCCACACTAATTCCACCAAAAATGCCCACTTCAAAACACACAACTACAGCTCCACGAGACCTGTCTACAATCGCAAAATCCCGTTCTTCAGCTCCAGAACACCCCCACAACCTCCTTACAAACTCGAAAATTCACGTAAGAGAAACAAATTTCATCGCAACGACAACCATTCCACCGCAAATCAGAGCTGGACAAAACCTGCAAAACAGTTAACTGCCGTCACAACTATCCTTCCTCATTCACGATTCTCCTTGAACCCCAGGCTCCTGCTTCTTCACAGATCCTGGTTGCCTGCAATGAATGATCCGCTCCCCTAAACTGACTTCACAGAAACCCTGCGAGTGAGAGAGAGACCCAGTGGGACTGATTCCCACTGGCAACCTCTTTGTCGCTAATGCTCAATTGGAATTTTCCCTTCAGACATTTTCGGCATCGGCATCGGCATCGACATCCCCCTGACGGAGGCTTCTGTCCGTCCATTATTCGTTCGTTAATTCAATTGTTCGTCGCCTCCTCCTCGTCCATAAGAATCCTCGTCGCTGTGTCCACTTGAGCATGTTGGAGTGCACGCGTTTGATGGATGAGATTCGAACGAATGAATACTGACGAAAAGGTTTCGTTCGTTTTCTGGACGTGGCTTTCACCAAGTCCCAGTTGGGTTGCTACCGAGTTACATGCCGTTTACTTTAAAATAGAAATAGATAATGAGAAAATAAAATACAAGTTGCACGATGTTATATTCATCTTAAAAGTTTGGTTCTAAAGGTTTGAAATGCATAATAAATACTCAATAATAAATAATAATATATAAATAAAAACAACAATATAATATAATATAATATCCTTTTTAATAAATCAAAATCGAGACTTTATAATTTAATAAAATTTACTCTGTAAGCAGTTTTTTTTCTATTTTGAAGTTAGGATATTAGAATGAACATTTTTTTTACATATATTAACGGAAATGAAAACGTTTCCACTTTTAGAGATTCATGTAACACTGACTGCCAAAGTCAAATTTACATTGTTCATCTTGTTAAGTGGAGTAAATTAAAATAGTATGTTTAATAAATTAAGCATTTTCCTTACACTCCAATAATTGGTATGCTTGACTGCACATTCTTTGGGTTGTATGTCACTTACAAATCATGTATATATACACAAAATAGTAAACATATTAGAACATGGTTCCTATACGTTTCAAGTTAGGTCACAATTCTTATCACTCCTTTTCTCCAGCAGAAATATCAATTATAAAATTTAATACGCGATTAGGTTTACAATTTTAAAAAATAAAAATAAAAAATAAACTATTTGGCACATATGTCAAAGCTACAAACAGATACAACAACGTGAAAATTTACACTACATCTTTGTCACTTGACAAAATAAACAACTTACACAAAAAATTTGTTTTGATGTGTTTGATTAACTTACACACAGCACAGACACACATACACAATCACTGCCATCTAAAAACACTGTCTTGAAAGAGGTGTTTTGTATGTAACAACATTTCATATTCATACTCCAAAAGGAAAGAAATAAAAATAAACAAATAAACATATTAAAAAAAAAAAACGAACTGGCAATCGGAGGTGAGAATTTGGCCTCAATCAATGATTGAATGATTTGAATTTTGATTAGTTGTTGTTGGTGTTGTTTACTTGTTTGTTGTTGCTCTGTTTGGTGATGTTTGGCGTTGTTTAGTCCTCCCCCCGCCCTCTATTTTCATGCGAGTGAGTGAGGGCTGGATTTGGGTAAGTGGGGTGTGTTGGTTGCGTCGGGGAGGAGGAGGAGGAGGAGGAGGAGGAGGAGGATGCAAAATTAGGTCGACGCTGCTGCTGCCGTTTGTAGTGACACTTTCAGTGCTGGGTTGGAAGAGTAGGAGGAGAAAGGAGAAAGGAGGAAGAAAGGAGTACTTCAGGATTGAAGTGGGCTTCATCGTCATCGTCCTCTGCCTTCCGTTTTCATACTCACTCCCATTCCCCACCCACTCGTGCCGCACGGGAGCAACCTCCAAGGCAGGCAGGCAGGCAGGCAGGCAGGCAGGCAGGCAGAAAGGCCCTTTCGCCATTGTCTCGTTTGTATTGTGGCAGTGGTTGTGTTTCAGCCTACTCCTTGTCCTGGAAATTATTCTGTAAGGGTTTTGGGTACCGTAGTTTTTAATTTTCATTTTCAATTTTTGAAAAAAGAAAGAAAAAAGGAAAAGAGTCACCCCGAAACTCAGTACAGTCAAGAGTTAGGGTAGGAGTTGTACAGCTCGTTGTCGCTTGGGCTTAGGGTTTGTTCGTAACTAGGAAGTTTTAATGGAGGAGGAGCATGAAGTGTATGGGGGTGACATACCCGACGAAGTGGAGGGGGAGCTCGAGGGGGACTCTGATGGAGATTGCGAGGACCTCCTCCTTAAGGGGGACATTGGCATTGATGAAGCTGCGTCTAAGGTAACATCTTCCAGACATGTGCGTCGTGTATTGTCTTATTCGAGAGCATCGTTTGGGGTTTGCGCGGTGTTCATGCGTGTGCTGAACTGCATGACTATCAGTAAGCATTTCTCTGCCTGCTCTTCGTAGTCTCGTGTTCAATCTTGACTCAGAGCCGATCGAGGATGCAGAGAAGAGTTTGTCACAGTGCTGACTACCGAGGGGATTTTGGAAAAAAGGATCCATACTTGGCGTGGTTCTTGACGTTTTTCATATTTGGGTTTCTATGAGACATGTCTCGCAGATAATTACATTGGTATAAAGTTCTTAGAGCCGCTGTTCCTCATCCGTGCAAGAGATCACTGAGAATTCTGAATAAAACAACAATATTTGGTTGTATTTTGATAAGATTACAGACTAGCATCTCACCACCATTATGTAAACACCTATAACTGTGTTTTGATGGTTCTGACCCGTGTTTTTGTTGTTCACATTATGTGCTTTTAAGGAGCTGGAGGAGATGAAGAAACGTTTGAAGGAGATGGAGGAAGAGGCCGCTGCTCTACGTGATATGCAAGCTAAAGTTGAGAAAGAGATGGGTGGTAGTCAAGGTTTGAATCCTCCTACTCGCTCTCGCATTTCAATTCTGCATAGCAATTAGTTTGGCTTTAAAACTTACCAACTCTAAAAGGATGCTGCATTTATGTATCAGTATTGGGGACTTGGAAGTGAGATTAAAGGTTCGAAGCGTTTTCTTGTTGTTAAATCAATGTGTATCTTATCCGAAGCGTTTGGCTGCGATGCCGTGGTTGTCGAATGAACTGCAGTGGTCTTTGTTGATTCATAGTCGATTGAGGATGCCATCCGATTCAGGCATTGAAACGCTATTGTTTATTTCATTCAAAACGCCTAATTGACAATCAGATTTCAAATTTATTGAAAAAGACCACTTTCATAATGAACTAATTATGTCTGGAATTCGATTTTTTTCAGACTCGGCAATCACAAGTGGAGCCCAGGCTAACCGAGAGGAGGCTGATGCTCGATCTGTTTTTGTTGGCAATGTAAACACTCTTCCACTTGTGCTTGACTTTGTATTAGTCCACAGATACATTTCTGAATGCATGTTCGCTTACAGTGGGCTAGGTTATGCTTTTCCTTGTAATTTATTGAACTGTTTAAGCGGCTGTTTGGGCTTGTCCAAGTGACTGTTTCAGGAGCTCCATCTCTTTTGAGCTAGTAAAGCAGCGACAGAATCGTAGTGAACACTTGATTGAGTTTATTATTTTTTCTGCGCAGGTTGATTATTCCTGCACTCCAGAAGAAGTACAACAACACTTTCAGTCATGTGGCACAGTGAATCGCGTCACAATTTTGACCGACAAGTTTGGACAGCCAAAAGGGTAATGCCTCTTTTTTCACTAGCATCATCTTTGAACTTATATCAGGATGTTATTACTACGTGTTTTAGAATGTTTTGCAGTCAAATCTCGACAGCAGACAGGAATCTCCCCGTTTCGATGTAGGCCTCATGAGGCTATAGCAAGGGGCTACTAGTTAAGTAGCTTCTTTGTTCTGGATGATTATATCTCGTGCGGTTTACAAGTCTCGGATTGCATCTAGTCTCTGACCTAATGTCTTCATGCGATCAGATTTGCCTACGTGGAGTTCTTGGAAGTAGAAGCAGTTCAAAATGCAATACTTCTTAGCGAATCTGAGTTACATAACCGTCCACTCAAGGTTGTTATACTACCCTTGGCCGTAGAAATTGTCCTTGTATATGCCAATTATATACTGAATTTTCTGCAAGGCTTAGTTCTACGCTTTTCAAGGTTTACGTGTGAAAGGATCCTGTCTTTTGTTTGGAATTTGATCTCCGGAATGATCCCTGTTCATGTTCGCAGGTCACATCAAAGAGAACAAATGTACCTGGAATGAAGGGCTTTCGGGGGCGACCATACGCCCCTTATTATGGGTACCGCCCACGGAGGCCCTTTTCAGCTCCCTATGGGTATGCTTCCTATGGTTCTGGGTGGGCATCCTGGCTGGATTCCATTCTGAGTTGTGGCGGTGCATATTTCAAAGGAGCTTAGAGTTTTTTTATTTTTTTTATTTTTTGTTTTTTTGTTTCTTGCATTTCTTGATACAATATTTGGTATTTGTAGATAGAATCTGATTTTGCTGGTATATTTTAAACTCAATTGGTCACAGAAAATAGTACACTTGTTAGATGTTATGTTGATGGTTTGTTGTGTGGTAAGAATACGTGGTTGCAAAGTTCGTGCCACAAACTTTGATTGTGTTGTGTTAATAGAAACGAGGTGTCATGTGCAGGAAAGTGCCAAGGTTCAGGAGGCCAATGCGTTACAGGCCTTATTATTAGGCAACTTGTGCTATTGGTACATTCTATTTTTGACTGTACATTGGTCCATCCACATGAAGTTTAAGAGAGGATTTGGGTGGCCAGCGGTCTTAGTTGTCACTCGAGATCTAAGGATAGGATATGTTGCCTCTCAAATCGGGTTCAGTCAGAAAGAGAACAACCTCAAAGTTTGGGGAGTTGACAAATGGTTGAAATTCACATGTGTTGGATTCTTTTTACCCTGGAGGTTGAATGATTCTTTAGGCTATGTGGTTTAGGACACGTAAGTTATTCTAAAATGCATGAGCTCGTGATTGTGACGAACTCTATATTTGTTAATTGAGTTCTGTGCTTTTCATTTTTGCATGTTCCAATTAGTGAATAGCGTGATTGTAAAATTGAATCTGAAGACAATGGATTCTGGTGTAGTACTCAGAGCTGTGATTCTTTGCTAGGTGTGGAGCATTTCATTCCCCTACATACTATGTCGACTTTTATACTCAGGAAGGTCTACATTTTGACGGGCTCTGTTTTGCATGTCACATGCAGCAGTTGAGTTGTCCCTGTCCACGTAGGTTAGAAGTATGAAGTGGAAAATAGGCACCTTGAATTGTCATTGCTTCGTCATCTTCGTTATTTACAACCCTTCATTATCTTATACTTATTGACGTTTAGCGGTTGTGGTTCGTATATCAGTTCAGATAGCGTTAGTAGTGTAATAAGCAGTCAATACATACAGATTCAAGCCCAACACATGGAAAAGGACAGTCATTCTATACACCAGCACGGATTCAGAGTGGGCAACGGTTCATTTTCCATGCACTGGGTGTGTTCGCTATGCCCGGCTGCTGGTGGCAACCCCTACAGATTTAATCTCCTTATTTTCCAAGAAATAGGTTCATTACTGTTAGACTAGCTTTTGATAGAGTTTTCCCCTGCTTAAATCTAGGTGAAGTTCAGATCTTTACAACTGAAACCGACACTTTCGAGGAACAGAAGCAAAAAAAGAATAATTTACGGGTAGCGAACTATCAAATTTTCTTTATTTGTAAATACGCAGTAAATTCTTTGCTGCAAATCCAATGCTGCCTACTTCCCAGTAACGAAGGGGGTCATATTCACGAACTACTACCTCTACAGATCCACTGAATTCAAATGGCCAATCCGTGCATAGAAGTCCGCCACAAACGTCTTCCACATAGAGAATCTCTGAATACCACTGTGGCCAATCCGCAAGAGACCTCAAAATGAACTGAACTACCTGAATAGGTTAGAAAAAGCCTGAATTAAAGTAGCTAACTAGCTTGTTTAGATGCAGGTAAGTCCAAAAAGTGGAATCAGCAAAGGGTGCACCCCGTGCGTTTAGAAATAGAAAAAGAAAGAATACAGATAAGCCCAGGAGTCTTAACTGTTAATGATCAAAAGTCAAAACCATGAATAAATGCCCTACAGTTCTACTTCTTAGAATGTATGATTTTGAGGCTGGTGAGGGTGATCCCAGTCTCCCCTTGAGCTCCTGGCGGAGCACTCGGTATCGTCTTTTCGCCGACAAGCGTGATCACAATCTCCTTTAAGTGAGCCCGTCCCATGAGCTCCAGCTTGCGCCGAATCCCCATTTTAAAGTTAACCACTGGAGGAACAGCCGGCGCTTGACCTACGTGGGGGAAGGAGAGCAAATTTCCAATATACTCCAGACACCCGATCGAAGACGTCTCGTAGTTTGCGTCCGGCAGGAACGCGAACACATTTATCAGATGCGAGGAGTTCCATGGGAAGTTCGCCTTGATTTGAAGCAACTCCTCTCCGTGGCGGTCTGACAACCAAGGTCTTCGCTTAAGTTTGAACGTGACCGGACCCTCTTTTAACCAAACAGGTTCCTTAAAACGGGGGGTGTTTTTAACCATTTCAGCGATGTCAGATTCGGAAGATTTCGGGTTGCAGAAGCTCCAGGTTGGCTTCGAGCCCTCCGTGACGGTTCCTTTGTCCGTCCATGCCATAGGCAGCTCCTGGTACTTCACCCTTAGGAGATCCAGGTCGAGCGCCTGCGCCACCGTGACGGACACTTGGTCGCCGTCTTCGTCGTAGAATGTGAAGGCCGTGTTAAGGTAATCAGGGTCCGTCACGTCTTTGCGATACTTTCCAGGCAGTGTTTTCCATGCTTCCCATAAGCGGTCGATGTTGGCGTGATGTGAGAAGAAAATGGGGTCTGCAGCAGAGTCTTTGAACGTGCCCATATCTTTCGTATTGGTCCATACGTGAACAGGACCATGAGGTCGCCCTTCGATGCCCCCCATTCCCATACCACCGTCATCACCGAATCGATACGGTGCCCCAGCCATGATCAAAGGCGTTACTGACACCGATACTGCTTGCGTCCACATCAGCTGAGCGTTTTGTTCTCGAACTGCGGACTTGTTCTGCGGCAACGGGCATGCGGTGAAGTTTTGAAACTCTACTATCTGCGGGTTTTTGCTACAACTGTTACGGTCGGGGTCATACAAGGAAGATGTCTTGTTTATTGCATTTGGCGATAAGCTCCACTCATGGGCGAATGCTTTCGGGATCTCGCCAGGGAATGGCGGTATCGGCGACTGATTGTCCCAGGCCCAATAGGGAATGGCAAACTCATCATCGCCGATCAGCTTCGCCAGGATGCGTTCATGGAAGTACAAGTAGAGACGATGCCACGGGAGGAAAAGCCAATTTTGGTGTATCTCAAGAGGATGCTCACGACCTTCGTAGTAGAGATGGTTGTTGCAATAAGCGCAATGAAGTCTGTACTGCGCCAGGTATGACCGGCCGTCCGTGTCTGGAAGTGCTCGCATAATCTCCACCGCCCTCTGGTACTTGGCAATGTAGGCGTCGTCAATTAGATGCGCCGCAGGGCGCACTCTCATTGGCAACTGGGGCTGGAAGTCAAATTTCTTGAGAGAGCCGAGGCGCACGGGCAGCGTACAACAGCCCTCAAATGAACGGACGGTATAGTTGCAGAGTTTCAAGTCAGGAGCTGGAAAGGGCTTGCCTTCTACAGTTTGCACTAGGGTGATGATTCCTATAATAGCCAGAAATGTTAGTGCCATCATGGCTCCAGTGAATGTTGTCATGATTTGGGACGTCGACATCCTTCGGGTTAAACTTGAGACGTCTTCGGGGTCGATGTTCAGTCTGAAAATGACCACAAAATTGTCAGTAACTACACAGTGGACCATGGTGACAGATGACAGCTGTCGCTGATTTCCTAATTCCGCACTCACTAATTTGATGGTTAATCTAATACCAACTTTGATCGGGTCAAACCCTTCCGTGATTTACTCGCCAATCAGTATATGTCAGGGTTCAGTGTATGGGCTACTTTGCGTAGTGAGCTATCGTGAAATCACGTCTACTACAGTCATTCAGGACTGCAATTAGTGATCATCTGCTGAGTGTTTTCACATTTTGAGAACCAAAAGTAGAATATTTGAAAGAAACTCTAGCTACATTTGAGCTTGCGCAGCGAAGAAAAGACACAAAAACACCTCCCTGAAATCTATGATGATACCAAAAACTTCGTCGATCAGACCAACATAGATTTCAGTGGAAAGGAAACCCCTAATGATGTTTTCGCGATATTTCACTCCAATCAACTGAAATGGCTGCCATCAAGGAATGAGATGCGTTTGCAAGAAGCCACTCGATGGCCCGAAAGCTGTCTCAAGGGTATTCTAGTTATTGGACTTCACTACTAGAATTCGGGTCGCATACCAACGTCCACAAGCAATATTGGAGGTGTTTCATGTGGACATCTAACGTCCCGCAATGCCCACAAGCAACATCATAGTTGGTTGTGGACGTTGCTTTGGGGCCCACATTCTAGGAGTGCTTGCATCATGGAAATATCGATCTTTTTTTTTAGATCATGGCAGCTGCATGCAGCAATCACTCACCCTCGCAATGGATCGTGTCTTTGCCAAGAGTGGATTTCGGGGAGGGTGGTAATGGTTGAAGTGGATTGATCACAGGGAGGAACAACAATCGAATTCTACATCGGAGCTGATCAAAATTAGAGGAACTTAGAAACTCACTCTCAAGATCATCGTCACCCTACTAGCGGAAATAAAATCAAGCCGGAGGCTCACCTTAACCGAATCTTCCGACCTCCTGAAGATATTTGCAGCTTTGCAGCAACCAGTGACCAACTTCATCAACACTGTAGTATTTTGAAGCCTACAATCGGATTATCAGATGTTTATTGCACGTCACAGATTGCGTAGGAAACCTTTAATTGATTTCCATCCCCTGCAACAACTCGGTGACTGAGTTGTTCCTTCTTCCAACTTTGGATTGCACGGCCTGATTGCAGTTGATCGGCTTGGTCGTGTGCGGAATGAGATGGCAGCGATTCAGATCCTGAGATGTCAAAGATCAGAACAAACGAGAAGTACAGTATGGAACTTGATCTTCATCACCAATCTTCGTCGCGTTCAAAGAGAACCATGCTTCAATTCGACTACAAGTACTTGCAGTATGCAGATACTCCACAGTCGAAGAAACTGGAATGGATTTGTCTTCAATCGAAACCAAAGAAGCAAAGAGCTGCGATTGATGAAGTCTCGAGTCCTTTAATATGCAGCGAGAAGATGATCCGCCTTTCCCAAATGCCTCTTCAGTTGTGATTTCCGAAGTTGTCTTACTCACACTTTGGATCCTGCGAAAGATCTCAACAAAAGTTGGATTGGTCGACCATCTTCGAACCATACACTGAAGGGGACGTAAAATTCCTACCCCTGGTCGATAATGGTACACTTCAGTGAACCTTCTTCGCTCCCGTTATCGACCAGGGGTAGGAATTTTACGTCCCCTCCAGTGTATGGTTCGAAGGTTCGAACGGACATCGTCCGCATCTCGAATGTGAAACTGAGGGAAATTCTGCAATGAATGCCCTCCAAGTTTGTGTTTGCAGACACGGCACTCTCTGATTTCACCCACATGTCGAATAATTTTTCATGACCGTGTGCAACGTGTGCATTGGCATGTTTGACTGCCCTGCCGCGTAGACACCACCTACATAATCGTTGCAGTGCGAAGCTACTGGTACAATGATGCGAATGGTAGAGTATCCAGCTTACTTCGGCAGTGACGTATGAAGCTTGTGCAGTTTCTCCTGCTTGATCTTTCCCTGGACCCAACCCCCGTTCAAAAAATCTCATATTTTGCATCCGTGCTCATGAGCCACAGAATACTCCACTTGGGCTCTGTGTGTTTTTGCAGCTTCGAACTACACCCCTCAATTTCGAGACACTCTTTACTAATGTCTGTTGGCCGCAGCTAAAACTGTAGTGTGTTTGGATCAAAACTTGTCATTATTGTAATATGTTAACAGCACTAATTAGGTAAAGTGGGTAAAAAATCACATAATTTTAATATGAGCATTTTAAGTGTTTATTCTACGTATGGATTTCAAATATGTGCACAAAATTTGTTTTTTTATAACTATCAAAATATATATTAAATATAAAAATAATATTGTATTTTTTTAATTGGAGAAAAATGACAAACCTTTTTATGTGTGCTAATCATTAAATTAAATCAAAGAAAAGTGTTAAATATTAAGTATTTTAGTAGATAATATTAGGGTTTAAGGATTTAGGGTTTATCAAAATATTCTCTTCTTAGGGCTTATTAAAACATTCTATGTCTGAAAATAAAATAAAAGTATACATGATATAGAAATAAAAAATAAAAACCATGATCTTAATGAAAATTTTAATACAAATGTGGACATAAGATGCTGTCACAAGGGAACAAACCATCAACCTTATCTAAAAAAATTTAAGAACCTTTGTAGAGAGCAGACCTCTATCAAGAGTTGTAGAGAGCAGAGCTACAAAAAAAAACTGAGATCACACCAAGGTTGTGGACTGCTGTTGAAAAACTCTGAGAACACACCAAGATTGTGGACTGCTGTTAAATTTATTACATATATGTATATGTATATCTACACACACATACACATTCATGTGTTTGTTGACTACTTTTAGAAAAAATATGAAGACTTTGCCGTACATATTCACATGTCATTTCCTCTCTCTTTCCTCCACTTTCCTTTTCACAAAGATATATACAATGTAGAATGTGGATGAGAATTTATTGACATGAAGCTCCTCTAGTCAAAATAGTTCTTCTTTATATGTATCCAGCTATGTGGATTGTATTGTCTGTTTTCCATTTTGTAGGAAGGGGGTGAATCTGTTGTCAACATGCCAGCTGAAGCTACATTTTGCTCTACTTGCATGAAAATGGACTTCTACAACCCTGGTTTGAACCTTCAAGGTCATGACAGTGAGTGTGAGAGTAACAACTTTAGACAGAAATATATATAAAAAATAATGAGGAGTAAATTCTACTCAGAAATGTTGTTGTAGCTCACCATTAGCCTTGTCAAATCTCAATACACTTTTCCCCTCAAGTCTTGCTCCTGGTTAGCAGTTCAACAAGAGGTGGCCCCAGCTTTGTTTAATTTATTATCATGATTTATTATTATTATTATTATTGTTGTTGTTGTTGTTGTTGTTATTATTATTATTATTATTATTTTCTTCTTTTGGGTTTGTTATTAGATGCTCATTTTGTAAGCTCTGAGTTGTTCATAGCTATGAGCTAACACTTTTCAGAGCATTTCAGTAACTATGAGCTAACACTTTTCAGAGTATTTCAGTAACTATGAGCTAACACTTTTTAGTAACTTTTCAGAGCTTTAGTAACTCATAGCTACTAAAAAGTGTTAGCTCATAGCTATGAACAACTCATAGCTACTAAAAATTTAGATTCAGAAATGAAGATGAGTAGCCCAATTATTTGTGATCAGCTATTCCAATGCTGACCAGGCCAATGCTTTCTGTGGAAGAATTGGTTCACAATCTGGTGCTATTATGTGTTAAAGTCCGCAGCCAGTGGACCAAGGCCAATTGGAAAGGTTGTCACTGTGCAGTGGAAATTGCTGATGAGGATGACTCTGAAGGGCAATGCTTATCACACTAGGGGGCAAAGAGGAGAGTGGCTAGAAAAAACAAAACAAAACATTAGAATCAATGTATAACCAATCCAATCACGTTCAATTTCAGTTCCTTGCTGGTCTTGAAAAAGGCATTCATGGTAGAGGTTTGTTAGAAACATTACATTCAAAGGAGATGATGTCTGCCTTTGGTCCAACCAGCCTCCTGTCAGTCTGAGCCTTCTATACAAAAGAAAAGAAAAGAAAAGAAGCAAAAACATTCCTCCACCTTAAGGAATGTTATGTTCATGTCAAAAAAGTAAAAGATAAAGAAACAATAATAGAAGTAGATGATACAATGAAAGTCACATTATCAGAACACAAGTCATAAAAGGTGAAACCCATTCAACACAAAAGACACTTTCACAAAAAAGACTTAGAAAAAACCCCAATGGTGAACAAAAATCCTCCTGCTTAGGGGACAAAAAATTCAACACATCCTCTACAAAGATTTTGGGGTTTTGTATAACATATCCCAGGAGGCAATAGTTGACAATGACAAAAATGTGGATCTCACAATTCAACTTTCAGACAGGGCCTCAGATGATGCCAGAAGCAACACATCTTGTGCTGGAGCCAACAGTTGAGTAAACAAGCACATTAATTAGTAAGGATTTATTTTTATTTTTTATGTTGTATTCCTTTTAATCTACTTCTTTGAGATAGACCAGTATGTGAGGTAGAGTCAAAGTGTAAGTGCCTCTATTGCTGCTCTTGTATTGTATTAAACCATTGTGCCAGATTTCTTTGCATTAAAATCAGTCAAACATGATGGGTTCCGACAAGACAGTGATTTCTGTATTTGTTATCTTCTTCTTATTCTTATTCTTCTTTGGATTTTACACTTAATCTGGCCATTTCTTCAATGCAAAAGAGGGCACTGTGGTGGATATGCTTAAGTGGAGAGCCTTTTTGGTGAATATGTGTCACATGTACTTTTAATTGTACCTTTAAATGTACTTTTTCTTACTACATTAGTAATGAGTTTGAATTCAATGATTACTTAGCAAGGAGTGTGGAAAATGCTTGTCAGAAGTGTGTTTCACAGGTTCCTTCATTGTGCTGGTGCCGTTTTTCAAAACTATGTTAAGTTTTCGACCAGGCAAGAGGAGGAAAAAAATGACATAAGAAAGATTGAATTTTTCCACCTTCTGGACCAATAATGTTTTATGCATACTTTCATGAATAATAATTAATTAATCAAAGCATACAATAACTTGAATAAAACTTGGATTAGCTTGAAAGATTTTATATACCACAAACTTTTTGTGCATAGGTTAACTGCAAAATACTTGTTAATCACTAGCATGGCTAAAACTAGGTAATCTTGGCATATATCCTGTTTAAACATTATTCATGTAAATATTTCAATTGAAAGTATTTATGAATGGTTGAAAATATATTTATTTAAAAAAAATAAAAATTCCACTAGTCATGCATTATTTGACATCTTCACTTACATGAAAAAGGATTTAAAATTATCTATTGAAACATATGCATGGAGGCATTGATTGAAAACTTCATATGTGATCTAAACCAATGTAATTAGATTATATTTTTAAATATTTGATTTTATTTAAATACTATAAAACTTTAATATATGGATAAAACATCTTATTTGAAAATTAATTAAATATGTAAGAATTAAGAGAAAGAGTATTCATTCCAAAATTATATTAGGTAGAATTTATTGAATTATTCATTAAGAAATTTGGTTTTTAATAAACTCTTTTAGCTAATATCATCTATTATAAGGTAAATATAATTAATTATTAAAGGCTATTAATTAGAAAATAATTAAAATTAAAATTTATTAATTTTAAATTATATTTAAATAAATGAAATAAAGTTTTAGAAGATAGATATTCACCAATTAGATTTTGGATGAAATTATAAAAAGAAAACTTTATAAAAAAAACATCAATTTAATGGTCTAATCTTACATTCATTCAATCTTCTCCTCCATTCTCTTATATATATATATATATATATATATATTTCTATCTTCTTCTTCTATTTTTTTTTTTTTATGATATATTTTTAATGTCTACAAGTTCAAGATCAGCATAAATAATACAATCTTAAGATGTCACAAACTACTCTTGCCAATTGAGCCAAAAAAGATTTCTACCTTATAAAAGCACCAATCTTGGGCACAATCAATAAAATCTTTGGTAAATTCTAATAATATTAAAAAATAGATTTTAAAAATATATATTATATATATTTTTAATTTTTCTAAAATTTATCAAATAAAAGAAGAAATACTATGAAAAAATGCTGAAATCAAGAAAGACTATGCTAAAATTTAAAAATAGATGACTATTCAAATTCTACAACTGCTATAAATTTTATACTTTTAAATCACAAAAAAATGGATTTGTAGATATTGTGGCTAAGCCCATTGGAGCATGTCCATGATCAAGAATTTTTTGCAATCATGGATTTATTATAACAATGGTACCATTATCTAAAAGTTACTTTAAGTATAATAATAATTTATACAAATTACAAAAATCTTGAGTATTTTATATCAATGCGTATTTTAAATGGTCACTAAGCCTATCAAAGATTTTTTTTAAAAAAATTTAAAATTTAATATTATTTATTGATTATGAAAATAATGAGTTTAATAAGACATCATTTTTAAATATTTTTATCTTGCAATAAAAGAAAAAAAATGAAACTTTTGATCAACAACAAACAATTCTTTTGAAGCTAAAGCAGTTTC